CACGTCTATCGATCGATATATATCGTTATTGAATTATCGCCCAGCCCTAGTTTATCTTTATATTTATACATTTATATTTGGACAGTCAAATAAGGCAACCATTGGGATCCAACTTCAAATATAAACAACGTCCAGACTGTCAGCCTCAGCTTTCGCTGATATAACCTGCAGATAAAGATTCACACAATGGCTGCACGGCTTTGAGATTACACCCACTGGAGACAGCGGCTGAACAGACCTATTTTTGTTCATGTTTTAGGCTGGCTGATCTAAAAACAAAGGCTAAAAACAGGAACACCAATTCCTAATGAGACCTTGGATACTGATTTAAAGTAGCTTAAAACTTAGGGACACAAACAATCAACTCATGTTAAAGTTTAAATGATGGTTTATTAGAATAAAATTGGTTCCATTTAATCATCTCTTTGCTTTGATGAACCCCCAATAGTGTAACTTGGCCGCATACGGTGTATCTGTCTGGTACAGCGTGAATTCAAAGGCGGGACTAACAGGGTCAGCGTCATCAGGTTAGAACCAATCGGAGAACTACAGATTTGACGCAAAACTCCGAGCTGTTTTTGCCTTTTTCTAGTCCTTAAAACATGTCAAGCTGTCGAGGAAACTCCAGTGAACGATTTCTGCTGGATTTTACCTAAAAAGTCTGAGGATATAAAGTGTGCTCTCTGTTACATTCTTAATATTGGCAACAGCTACCAGAAAAGCACTGCTGCATTATGGGTAATTCTGGGGCAGAAAGTCCCGCATTAGAGGTGGACGAAACCCTGGAATTTTTAATTGATCGGATACCAACTAAATACAGGGTCAATATCACTGATATCGATACGAGCTTTTTACATTTAAACTTGATGTGTCATAAAACTGTTGACCTTTCTGTGTTTTTGTGATTTTTATTGAATAATAATATTAATAATAATCTGTTCAGTGTTTATTTCCTAATCTACCTCTTATATAATATCTTTCAATCTTTAAGTAATTTTGTTTCTACTGTGTGCTCTTGCTTTTTTATTTAATTCTATAAATGTCCCCATTGTGGGATAAATAAAGGATTAGCTAATGTTACACGCGCTGCTTTGTTTTTAAAACATATGACTATAAAAAATCTAACCGCGGATGTCTGGGGGACAGTGATTGGCCTACATGTTCTGAATGCTGGCGTACCATAAAGAATAAATGATGAACAGTTTCAAGTCGTTTCCCATAGGAAGACATTACTCTGGTATATCCTAATGGAATATCTTCAGAACTGCTCCAAATGACACTAAACTAATAAGGATGAGTAGAACATGATGGAATAACGTAAAATCAAGGGCCCAATGAAAAAAAAAAAAAAAGACGCGTTCCCCTTTAAATACACTTCCTGAGTGGGCTACAGTAACGTATGACATATAATACCTACTCTGAAAGTTAATATGAAGGTGATCACTCTAATCCACCTGGATATTCTCTAGAGGTCTGAAACGCAGACGGTGAACACTGGTGAATTTGTTGCAGTTAGTGCGTGCTGGAGAGAATAAAAAGTGTCGGTCTTCTTAAGCAAATATTTTTCAATATGAATACCAGTGTTGGTATCTATAGGAATGATCCTAGGATCGATCCGCCCTCCTCAATCCCGCGTCTTAAAGTATGGCTTCCTGCACTGCGAGTGGTGTATTGTGGTTTACCTGTAGTATTGTGTCCACTCTCAAGATGGCGCCGCTGTTCATTCTTAAACAGAGCTTTATAATCATACAGGATCAATCAATCAATCAACTGTAGATGAACTAATGAGCCGATAGCTTGCATCCCTAGTCACAACACACCAACATACATGAAAAGTGACTCATTATCCACGAGACAAAGTTTGCTCTGGTTTAAAAAAAAAATTCAAATCATACAGTTTTTACCTGCTCAGTCCACTTAGGCAAGATTGTATGTTTGTATTTGTCTCTTTGCTTTCTAACAGAAATGAATCATTTACTATAATTGTTGAATCGCGATGGTTTGGACAACCTTTGATCTGTGTTTTTCACTTCGTCCCCCAAGTAGCTGCACCATTGGATTTACATCATTACAGCAAATAAAATTATTTATTACACTTTCTGTTTGATCTCATCAGGTTTCCTAATATAGCTTGTGAGCTACTGACCTCAGATGTGTCGGTTATAAATGATAAGCTGGGTGGGGATGAATCCCTCCTTGAGACACTCTACAAATTCCTGGATCAGGACTCGCCCCTCAATCCTTTACTCGCCAGCTTCTTCAGTAAAACCATCGGCAATCTCATTGCCAGGAAAACAGAACAGGTTTGTTTCAAAATGTTAATGTTTGCAAATACAGCTGTAATTTGTGTTTGTGTCATTGTCACTAACATGGGGCTGGTATTATGTGTGTTTTTCAGGTGATCACATTTTTAAAGAAAAAAGAAGGCTTTATTGGTTTGGTGCTTAAACACATCGATGCCTCTGCCATGATGGACCTGCTTCTTCGCCTGATCAGTTGTGTGGAGCCTGCACCTTTAAGGCAGGAGGTGCTTCATGTAAGTCATCAACATCTTTCTACTGAAGAAAAAACAAAAAAACAAAACAAAATCAAGTCTTTATTGAGCCTTTTTTTCAGTGGCTGAATGAAGAAAAGCTGGTACAGAGACTCATAGAACTTATCCATACTGGCAAGGATGAAGAGGTAAGGGGAAAAGATCAACACAGCTGGATCTGTTTCACTGTGACGGAGTGTTTGGGCCAGGCTAGAGATGTTTATAAACATTTTTTAAATATCAGAATAAAGTCAGAATATTATGAAAATAGAGTTGCAACTTAAGGAGAATAAAGTCGCAACATTAACATTAGGAGAAGAAAGTCGCAACATTAGGAGAATGAAGTCGCAACATTAGGAGAATAAAGTCGCAACATTGGGAGAATGAAGTCGCAACATTAGGGAATAAAGTCATATAGTACATTTAAGAGAATAAAATTGAAAAATGAAGAGAATGAAATCATCATACTATATCCCATTTCAGAAAGAAAGCTTGGAGCTCATAATCATTTGCACAATTGTTTTTTTTTTTAAAGTTCTGATATTGATGATTAGATGCTAAAAGACGTAATTTGTCCTTATTTTGGAAATTGATGCCAAAGTATAACTTAACTGCTCAACATTCCTCATGCTCTGTCGTGTTTCGACTGATCCATATTTCAATCATTCACTCTGAACATCTAGATTCCTTCAGTATTTGTTTTCATTTCAGAGACAATCAAATGCGTCCCAAACCCTCTGTGACATCATCCGCCTCAGTCGAGATCAGGCCAATCAGATGCAGGATAACATGGAGTCTGACCCGCTATTGACCGTGCTGGAGTCGTAAGTTTTTAAAACTAGCTTAACGGATCAAAGCCTGGCTATAATGTCAGATGTGTTGGTGTGAGTTCAGTCTGTTCAAAGCTTTGTGTGGTTTATTTGTGCTCCTGTTGCTTTTTAAACATAAATGTAATTAATATCAGTGACATAGCAACATTTTCCCTGCATTTGGTTGATAATTATCACTTCAGTTAATGAAAATCCTAAATAAAGAGTGAGCTCACCGAGAGGCTTGTCCGTGTTCAGAAGGAGCACAGTAATCTTGCCCAAATTCCAACACTTTTTCCACCCTTCTGCCAAAAATTGAAATATAAACAATTAAATGCATTTGTTCTTGATATGAGAACTGTGACACTTGCCAATGAAAAGAGACAATTTACGTCTAAAATAAGAAAAAACAATTGCATTGTCTTATTTCAAGTGTGGTTTATCTAATTATCTTATTTTAAAATCCCAAGTACTCAGTTCATTGGCAAATCATCTTATTTACCTGATCAAATGAAAGGTAAATACACTTAATTTAAGTTTTCTGCAGTGCGGTTGTTGTGCAATGTCATTTTATTGTCTTAGAAACTAGACTGACTGGTCTTGTTGTGTCTAATCCTCAACAGTAACAGTTATACTGTAGCAGCCATTCAAAAGTTCCCCACTTTCCTTGATAGGTCCTTTTTAAAAAACAATCTTTGTACTAAAATATTCTTTCTGTCAGGATTTGTGGACATTAAGATCTAAAGAGAAGCGTCATCTCCTGGTCAGACGCCATGGGGGGAGGCCAGTGGCTGGAAGTGGGCTGCAATTCAGCTGGTGTTTGACTAGGAAGGGCCATTTTGAATGGCTGCTACTGTATAAATCTCTCCTTGTGTATTTTGAATCGGCAGCTTGACATTATATCTGTAAAGGTAAAGGGTGAAGGATTGATAAACCAGTCGGACAGTCTGAGCGAGCATCAATGCGCTTCCTGTTGCTGCAGGAGAGGATAAGAGACCAGGGCTGCCATGCTTTCTTCTCTCAGCCGGCTGTTTCTGTGTCTTCCAGGCAGGAAACTGTAACGGGGCTTCTCAAAAATATGTTTGAGGGCGAGAGGAGTGAGGCCTCCATTGTTAATGGAACTCAAGTGCTACTTACCTTATTGGAGACCAGGAGGTCTGGGTGAGTAGCTCCTCCTTCATACTGGCACCAGCTGCCTCCCTGTTTAGCTGGAAGACGTCTTTGAACAGTAGAAGGACTGGTCTTTGACCAGTAGAAGGACTGGTCCCAGCAGGTCTTCAAAGCCTGCTTAACTGTTAGCACTGTTTTTACTAGCATGAAAGAGAAATATTTGTCCACCATATCCTGGATGGAACTAGAGGGCTGCTGATGTGAGGTCAACATGGACGCCTCTCTCCAACAAATCTGACGTGTTGTTTCTCTAATGCTCCCCGTAGGTTGGAAGGGTTAATGGATCTGTATTCTCAGGGTTACGAAAGGTCTTACACTGTCAGCAGCAGTATATTAAATGCCATTGAGCCCCACTTAAAGGACTTCCAGCAGCTTCTTCTTGACCCCCCTAAGGTAAGGCGCCATGAATGAGTCAGCCAGCGATGCAGAAGAAAATCAAACAGTTTTGACATTTTTTCTTCTTTTGACAGAAAAGTGCAATATTGATGACTGTTGGCATCCTGGAGCAGCCGCTGGGGAATGCCCGCCTCCATGTTGCACGGCTTGTGGCTGCCCTGCTGCAGACCAACTCACCCAGCATCTGTCAGGAGCTCTGCAATCTGGCCACCATGGATCTACTGCTGGTAGGCAGCTGTTTGCTTCAGGAGGATCTGCAGCTTCTCTTTAAGGCGTTTCTACTTAGAAAAATGAAAATGTTCAGAAGGCAGTAACATTAATATTTTCGATGGACTTAGGTTTCTTTCATATTTATTTGTACCTCTTAAATTTCCTATGTGCTTAGATGTGTACATATAATATAAAATGTTTGAAATTTGCCCGAATCTAAAAGGTTCCTTTTCATCCTTCAATGTTTTTGTTTGAACCAAATTAGAAGTAGAAGACGCCTCTGTTCACCTCTGTAGGCCTGAAAAAATCTAAGTAATTTTTGCTTAAAATAAGTGCATTTTGTTATTGAATTGGAAGTGAGGCAGTTTAACACTTGAACACTAAAATTTACAATTAATATACAAACAATAATAATAACTAATTTCAAGTGCATATTACCTAATTATCTCATTTAAAGAGTAAAAATAATATTTCAATTGGCAAATCATCTTATTTACCTGCTCAAATTAAAGGTAAATAGACTTAATTTAAGAAATGTTGACTTATTTCTAGATAGTTTTTGCAGTTTGAACTTTGCAAATATTGTCAAAGTTGGAGCAAAAGGTTTCTCCACTGTTGGTGACCCAACATTGTCAGTCCAGTTTTCTCACCACAGGTCAGAAAATTAGAATATTGATTAAAAGCTTAAATAAATGAAATATTTTTGTTAATCCATTTGAGAAAGATAATTTATTTTGGATAATTTTACAGAGAGCGACATATTTTATGATGATGGCTACAGGTAAAGAAAAGCTCAAATTCAGGATCAGAAAATTAGAAAGCTGTGCTGGTGCAGGTTCTTTGCCTTGTTGGTTCTGCTGCCACTCCTCCTGAAAAGGGCTGCATCTCAAAGATGCAGCAAACCAGATGTTAAAGATAGAGATGTTTCCCATTCTGAGATAATTGGCAGAAAATCTAGGACTTAATATTCTGATGTTTTAGGCGTTCCTGTGGAGTGCTTTTAATGCAACAAAGAAGGATATATTTCCTTTTAGTATTCCTCCCTACAGTAACTATTAGAGCAAAGATTTGGCCTTTTAAACCCACCTGCACCGTCTGCTCTCTTTGATGACAGATAAATCCACCTGAACAGAATAAATTCTATTCAGTTTATTTCTATAGCGCTGATTCACATCATGTCATCTCAAAGCACTTTACAGTTCACCAGATCCTCCAGTCAGATTGATTCAAGGTTTTCTATCTGAGGAAAACCAGCTGATTGCATCGACTCATTGACTCAAATACAATCCCTCACACTAAGCATGCTTGTAGCGACAGTGGAGAGGAAAAACTCCCTTTGAACAGGAAGAAACCTCCAGCAGAACCAGGCTCAGTGTGAGCGGCCATCTGCCGAGGCCGACTGGGGTTCAAGGAGACAGAAGCAGACATAGAAAAAGAAGCATACCGTATTTTCACGACTATAAGGCGCACTTAGCGTCTTTTTTTTCCCTCAAAATGTGCGGTGCGCCCTATGGTGCGGTGCGCCTTATGTGTGTGTTAAATACAGAAATGGGACACATAACTGAGAGTGCGCCTTTTAGTCCGGTGCGCCTTATGGTCGTGAAAATACGGTAGATACAAAAGGCAACTGTCAACCAGCTCCACAGGAAACACACAGCCAGGCAGACGAGCTCCGAGCCAGCTCCCATGCCAGAGGATGAAGAGAGCACATCCAGTTAGTCACAGTCAGAGAAACAAGACTACACTGAAAAACAGGCCAAGCCCCAACATCTAGAAACAAAGGTGTTGATGGCAGCAGCACAGCTGATATTTCTCTCCAGGATGGAGTCACAGCCAAACAGGAACAGACCAGATGAAGCTACTATGAGAAAAAGCAGAGAGAGCAGAACGTTAGAGATTGAACTAACAGATTCTGCAGAGTGGGAGAATAGAGATAGAATGAAGCAGAATGATGAAAAAGGGGTCCCTATGTCCTCCAGCAGTCTAAGCCTATAGCAGCAGAACTATAGAGATAGCTCAGGATAACCTGAGCCACTCTAACTAGAAGCTTTATCAAAAAGGAAAGTTTTAAGCCTAGCCTTAAAAGTAGACAGGGTGTCTGCCTCACGGACTAAAACTGGTAGTTGGTTCCACAGGAGAGGAGCCTGATAACTAAAAGATCTGCCTCCCATTCTACTTTTAGAAATTCTAGGAACCACTAGTAAACCTGCAGATTGAGAGCGAAGTGCTCTGTTAGGAACATAAGGAACAATCAGATCTCTGATATCAGATGGAGCTTGGCCATTTAAGGCTTTATATGTGAGAAGGAGGATTTTAAATTCTATTCTGGAATCCATTCAAATTCACTTCTCACTTGTTTTTCAGGATCTGTTCTTCAAATATTCCTGGAATAACTTTTTGCACCTTCAAGTGGAGCTGTGCGTGGCGGCCATTCTGAACCAGCCTTCGTCAGACGAGCGGCCGAGCTTGAACCTCCAGAACCACGGCGGCCCTCCACCAGCCCCCAGCGCTGAAGGGGAGACGGAGCAGAAGGACACACAGAGCGAGTCCCAAACGTCGGCGCAGAACGCCCTGGTGGCTCATGTATGTGATGACCAAACCCAGCTGTTTGTCAGGACTGAGAGCCAACACTGACTGTTGTGTTTGTGATCGACCCTCAGCTTTTCCAGAAGTGTCGGCTTGTTCAGAGGATCCTGGACGCTTGGGAGGAGAACGATAAAATCCAGTGAGGAACCTTCGTTTATCGATCTGGGCTTTCATCACACAGCTGGAGTTTTCTAACTGTGTTTCTGTGTCAGGGCGGAGGGCGGCGCCAGGAGAGGAAACATGGGGCATCTTACTAGAATTGCTAACATGGTGGTCCAGAACCTGGAGAAGGGACCGGTGCAGGCCCAGATGGCCGACCTGATCAAAGGTTTTTAGATCTTCTAGCAGCTGATGAGTCGTCGTTTGAGATGAACCAACCAATGAGGAAAACTTGGTTTGATTTCAGAGCTGCCTGAAGACTGCAGAGGTCGCTGGGAGAGCTTTGTGGATGAAACCCTGAGAGAAACCAACAGGAGGAACACGGTGGAGCTGGTGAGGGAACAACCCGTCAGTCTGTGGACCTCAGTGCTCTGAATGTGGACTCATACATCCTCTCTCTGTTCTTTAGCCGTATCTGTGAGAAAAGGATGGATCCTGCAGTCTAGGGCAGCCGAGTAACGAGCTGACAGGATCTCTGAATGCTCAGAAACCACAGGATAGAATAAAGAATATCCAACATGAGCTCGTCTTTAGTTTTAATATACAGAAGGCTTTAGTCTCTGATTCAGTCTCACTGCAGGACAGTGAAGGATTAATCTTATCTGTTTTGGTCTCTGCTTTTACGGTGAGGAAAGATTTCTGCTCCCAGTTTGCAGAAGCTGCTCAGAGCCAGACAGTCAGGAACGTAGGAAACGTTTGTTCCAAGGTTAGACCGCTGAGCTCCTCCTCTGTTCTGCAGGTCAGCACCCACAACATCCACTCGTCCAGTGAAGACGACGACTTCCCCAACGATCTGTCTCTGCAGCAGGTATGGATCCCCCTCTGAGCACACATCCTACGCTGTCTGTAAAATCTCATGTCCCCGTTCTCTGCAGACCTTCTCAGAGTATCAGATCCAACAGATGACTGCCAACTTTGTGGAACAGTTCGGTTTCCATGACGAGGAGTTCAGTGAACACGACGAAAACATCAAGTAAGCCGGCTGATGGTCAACCTGTGTCAAACATGGATTCAGTCTTCTATCTGTTAGGATGAAGTTTGAGCTCCTCTGATCCTGATTCCCATTCTGCTCTCTCAACAGCGCCGCCTTTGACAGAATTACAGAAATCAATTTCTCTCTAGATGCTGACGATAATAGTGTAAGTACATTTTTAACTGGTTTTAACGTGAATCGTTCCGTTCAGAGGTTGTCCAGCTTACTGTTCCTGCAGCGCCACCTTATGGTCACTTTGAGCAGCGAGCTGTAGCTTCATCACAGGGATGAGACTCCATCATCAGAGACAGGAATATTAGCTCTGTCACTGGGTCATAAAGATGGACCAACCCTATCGGGTGATAGGCGTGCTGACAGAGCAGCCATCTTAGGTCAGACCAAGCTGTGGTTAATATTAATTCCATATCATCTGAAATAGTTTTTAATCTGAATAAATGTGTAACAGGTCATTATAAGGTTAGTTTGATTATTTTAAGTGGACGTCAGAGATTATTGCAATATTATCTCTAATCTGAGGCCTCCTGTTGACTGACAGCAGCTGTCTGACCCAAGATGGCCGCCCTCTGGCATGTCAGCCTCTCTGCCGGCAGCATCCAAGGGCGCGTCTACATACTAATATCTAGAGCGTTGAGCCACTGCGCGTTGTCATGGTAACAGATCAGCTGTAGGAGCATCGTCCTGATAGACTTCCTTTATGATGCAGACACGCGTGAAGATGCTGGTCAGATGGGACTACCGCCATCCAAAAACGTCCTACACGCAAAGGATGGTGGGAAAACCAGTAGCTGCTTAGCGCTGCATGGGAACGTCATGAGGTCCCTTTGATCAAGGAGCGAAGATAGAATTATTCCTGCTTCCTTCTCCTCAGGAAGCCATCCTTCCTTTTTAGGAATGTTGGTTTTATTTCTGCGCCGCTTCACCTCATGTTTCTGGACTTTAAAGACATTCAGGTGGCTCCTCTTTCAGGCTTTTACTGTTTCTGATGTCAGTTTAAGGCGGACTGCTTAGTATAAAACAGCAAAGCTGAAATGTTGATCGTAGAGGAAGTTCCTCCTCCAAACATAAAGATGCTCAGTTCAGACTCTGGCTGTTTGCTCAGGCCAATGCCGCTGCTTTTGAAGAATGCTGTAAAGAAAGAATCCGTCAGTTTGATGATGCTGAAGAGGAGGAAGAGGACATCTGGGAGGAGAAGGAGATCAACTATGCAACACAAGCTAAATCCAGAACAAGGTGACCCCACTTCTGATCTCACTACACGTTGTTATTCCTGCTCAGGTGGTCGGCAGCCATTTTTCCTCTCTGTTTCAGGTTCGGGGCGTCTCAGGCCTCAGCAGAAGAGTCCAGGGGCCGAGTGGAGAACGGCGGTCAGGAGCAGGACCCTGGATCCCCATCAGACGAGGACGAAGACTCTAAGCAGAGCTCAGCAGACGCAGGTACAGCAGCCGTTCACCTCCAGAACGCAGCTGGAACCTCCTGATGGAGTCTAACAGTTCATGTCTCCGTAGCTCCAGGCTGGACGGCAAATTTCCGGGACTCTGGAGGGACCGCTCCGGCCCCCGCGCCAACAGGCTGGGAGAGCGCCGCTTCTGGGGAAGCAGAGACGAAAGGAACAGGCTGGGCCAACTTCACAGAGTTCCAGCCTTTCAGCGGGTAAGAAACCGACCTTCCACACAAAGTAGAACATCTTTCAAACAGCCAGAAGACGTCAGTTGACTGAAAGAGGAGACAAGGCTGATCTAATAGTGTTGGTTTTTATCTCCCAGTACCGAGCCCAGATGCAGCTCTCCTGTAGACGGCGGAGAACCAGAGAAACAAGCCAAACAGAACCACCTGCAGGACGGTGAGCTAACAGCCTGTTACGCTGAAATGTCTTTCTGAATCAGAAGATGTGCTTTAATGGTTGTGGTTGCTGCAGATGTCGGTGCCTCCTCAGACGTTTCTCCTCCAGGAGGAGGAACAAACGCTCCAGCTGTGGCCTCAGACAGCAACTCCTCTGGAGGAGCCCAAGGTGAAGCTAAAGATCCTCCTGCTGCTGGAGCAGCAATCCCCTCTGAAATGACGGCCACCAAACAGACGGCTGACCTCAAAAGGTTTGTTCCTTTCAGCTGAAGTCAGACGTTTGTCAGCAATACGATCCGTTTCCGTGTGACCAGCAGCGTTTCCTCAGCATTTGGATCTGGGAGGACGCCGTTCAGCCTCTTCTGTTCAGCATCTCCTCACAGCTTCCTATAAAGCGCCGTCACCAACACGCTAAGCTAAGAATGACTTTCCAGATAGCATCGCATTTGTTTGGATTGCAGCCTCTACTTCCTGTTTACTGCAGCCATGTGTGACGACACCTTTAGAGGAACCCTTATCCCTGGAGATCCGCAGTACCAAATTATCACCTTATAAGATTTCAATCATTCT